ATCATCATCAGAGTTAAACATTCCAAATACATATCAGTACGATACATATTTTATGAATATCATAAGTGAGGTTCAAATGATCACACAGTGATAACAACAAAAACAAATCGAGTGGAGTGTCGAGCTTTCAGTTCTTCTCAGCTGCTTTCTTCGCCGCATTGCTCAAACGACCCACATCACGATCTGCTCGATCCTTGACCATTTCTTCATTTTTTTCATTGATCGTTTTTGTCACCTCTGCACTCACTTTAGCCTCAAATTTTTTGAGTCGTTTAGCAAAACTCAAAAAAAATTGCCGTCTGTGGAAATGAAAACAAACAATCCAAAAGTTTGATCAATTAATTCTAATTCCCATGCGAATAATTTGTTTTCTGATGGATGCCACATTGCGAAACACATTCAAGAATAGAACTGAAACGGCCAAACCAACTGACCTGTTCGACGAAATTCTTATTCTTTGGTGCAATAAATACATGCCGTCCTCTTTTGGGACCTTTTGGTGGAGTTTTTTTAACCTTTTTCTTCGTGCCTTTAGGCAACGTTACCTGAACGACAATACAGTTTACAACCTCATAACAAAATCCACTTCACTCGCAAATCAGCCAGTGATTACTTAAGATAAAGTCATTATAACATTCAGAAGAGACAATCTCAATTAAAAATACAGTAACAAAAGATCACTGGGCGATTCAATAACTTCGCTTTTCTATGAAATTTGGAATTGTTTACAAATATAATTTGCAAATTCCATGCGTACAATTCGAAAATATAAGAAACTATCTCAAACAGCTAGACGTGATGGCCGAATGATAACCTTTTGCTTCATTTTATGTTGTACCATTTTGCGACAAAATAACGATATGTGCGAATGGATTAGCTCAACAGCAAACTATCTAACGAATAGGATATAGAGCGCTGCAGCGACACAACAGGCCGAAACCGTTGAATGTAGACGAACACCAACCACGGATGCCTGAAGAAATATTCCGCCAAATCCTAACAGATTATACGATTGCAGCAGTGAACTGATCACACCACCATTTTGAATGCAATCAGAATAACTTCGCTGAATGAGCGCTCATTAAGTTGCGACAAGTTTTCAGGCAACACTAATCGTAGAATTTTTGCGGATCAGATCAAATATGGAAAGCAATTTCAAAATGTAACGTGATCAGAGACATGACCACAAGCATAACCAGTTCTCACCTTATAAAAGACACCAAAGAATCCTTTCTTTTCACTCAACAGCCACGAACTTACTCTCGGTACACGTTTCAGATAAGCGCAAGTACAAATCAACAACAATGCGACAACCAGTAGACCATCAAATGAATATGCTAGAATGAAATTTTATCATTAGCCCCAATTCATTGCCTTAATCGCACTTCGTCACTATTTTTTCAACTAATCAACATCATTTTAATCGCTCGTTTCTAATATAACAAGTGAGATTCACCATTATAATCCTCTCCTCCAGAATTCAATTCGAAAACTCTTAAAGAATTACCTAACAAAATAATGTAAAGTGTCTCTTAGCAA